ACACTGGCGTTTGAGAGGCACGAAAAGACCAGTGTGACTAAGCTCGGAGGGAGCAGGTCAGGCCGGAGGTCTGGTTTCATTCTGAACTCAGAGGGAAGGCAAGTGTGTGATGCTTTCATCACACGTGGTCCTTATTAGCTGCTGAGAGAAGAGACAGGGCCGGAAAGGAGATGGCTGTGAGCAACGTGCACAGGTGGCACATCCAGAAGGTGGTTCAGGGTGATCAGCAGCAGGGGAAGGTGGAGCCGCTGCCCCCTTAGAAAAATGCCACGTCCATCCTGCCTCCCACCGTGGGAGGCCCCTGCCCAGAACGTCCCGGGCGTTTCTCGCGCTGCCCCTGGTGACCTGGCGGTGGGGCAGGTGGCACTTCTGGCACAGGTGACACCCGCTCGTCCCCAGGGCATGGAGTCCGAGCTGCGCGCCTTCGCAGCCCGCCCAGAGCACGTGTCCTCGGACAGCACGTTCCTGGTGCTCATGTCCCACGGCGTCCTGGACGGGGTCTGCGGGACTGCGCACGGCCCAGAGGCCCGCGACGTGCTGCCTTACGACACCATCTTCCAGATATTCAACAACCGCAACTGCCTCGGTCTACGAGACAAACCCAAGGTCATCATCGTCCAGGCCTGCAGAGGACGTGAGTTCTCGGAGGGACGGTCCCCACATCATAGAGGCGCTTGCAGAGGACCGTGGTGCGTGGTCCTGAGGGACAATCCTGCCTCCTCCGGTGCTGACACACGGCACTGGGCCGGGAGGCCCCTCCACCCAGCGGTTCTCAACCCACAGGAACTGTATTAAAGGATTGAGGCATTAGGAAAGTTGAGAACCACTGCCAGCTGTCGCAGGGTCGCCCGGTCAGCTGGGAAATTTCCACACAATTTAATCAGGGGAAGTGAGAATCCCTGAGTCAAAGTTAAACAAAAATTCTCCTCAGAGTAGATGGCGTTTGATGCCAGCTGGTCTTGAACATGTTTTACGGACATTTTGAAATTATCTGGTCTGATGAGAATTAGATTTGAAATTTGGGCCATCACATAATAGCAGACTTCCCCCTACACACACACCATTGTTATTGAAGGGGAGTGAGTGTGGGGAACAGGGACTTGTGGGCTTTGCTATCAAACTTTTCTTTTCTTTTTTTCCCTGACATCCATAATGTCACGGCTACTGGAAAGGTCCCTCTAAATAAAAACCAAAAATAATTTAGCTAAAGGTTGGCAACTACATGATGGGGTTACTACTAACTGTCACATCACTCAGTGGCATTAGAGAGGAGGCAGCGTGGTTGAGTGCGTGTGTGAAACGAGTTAGAACACACAACAGGTGGGCAGTTGTGATGGTCACCTTGAGGGAGGCACAGCGGTGTGTGGAAATTCCATGTCTTTACAGAAAACCGGGGAGAAGTGTGGGTCAGAGACTCTCCAGAAGCCTTGGTGGACAGTACTTCACAGTCACCTGACACCCTGGAGGATGACGCTGTTCGGGTAACCCACGTGGAGAAGGACTTCATTGCTTTCTGCTCCTCCACCCCACGTAGGTGACTTTCAGTGGCATTCAGGGATTCGTGGGCCTGAGGCTGCCTTTGACTTATTCTAGAAAAATTAACATAGGCTCTGTCCCTCAAGGATCTGAGAAAAAATTTCAGTGCTGTCTATGTATTTTACATTATCTTATCTGTGCTATAAGGACAGATTCTTCTGCCCACATACACGTGTTTAAAAATTGTCTTTTTTTTTTATAAGTGTTGTACTTTATAGTCGTGCATAGCAATTAAAAAAGCAATCCAAACAAGGAAGCCCCTCCAGAAAACTTCATTTAAACATAAATAATTGATACTTTTTTAAATTATTAAATCCTTTTAACATTTTTACTAGAGATTTTGTGGACTAGCTGTCCTTTCTAAAATTATCAACTCCAAGCCCTTTCCCCCATATTGTCCATATGGTTCTACGCAGAGCCCATTCATGCCCCAGGAGGAGTGTGGATGCCTTTCAAAAGGAGGAGAAAATGGTAAGACGGGACTGACTAGGTTGGCTGCAGGTAATTGTGGTTAGGTTTCCACCTTTAGGTAATCATTTTAAGAAACTTAAGGACTCTTTCATATGTGCAAGGTTTGAAGTCTTATTTTTTCAAATCACTTTATTTCAGTATAATTAGCATAAGAAAACTGTACATATTTAGCATCTACTATTTAATTTATTTGAAGAATAAACTTGTGAGTCTATCACCACAATTTATGCCATAAAATATATCCCTTTTTTCCAAAAGATTCTTCCAGCTCTCCATTTTTTATTCTATTTTATGTTTGTGTTGTGTGTGTGATGAGAGCACTCAACACAAGACCCACCCTCTCAGCTTGTATATAATAGTATTGTTAATTATCGACACCATGCCATACAGTGTATTTCTATGACTTACTTTTCCTCTATAATTGACTTTGGTTCTGCTGATCTATTTTAAATTGTTAAAGACAGTGCAATGTCCAAGGTTGTCAAACTTTTTTCTTCAATGGTACACAATGGAAGAAGGATTGTCTTGGGCCACATATTAAAAACACAAGCAATAAAAAGATTTGCGCATAATTTTCATGACATCTGACTCTGCAAAAAGGCCTCAAATAATCTGTATGTGGCCCGTGAACCTGAAAGGTGTCAAATAATCTGTATGTGGCCCGTGGACCACAGGTCGAATACCCCCAAACCTGTAACTACATTGGATCAAGGTGGCCATTTTTGATCATGGTAGAAACATAGGGAAATTTTGTTTCATCTTTCTGAACTTCTATTTTTTCTTCAGTAAGGTGGGATAATCTCATTTATGACAATGCTGAGTGAATAAACAAATGACACATAGTAGAATATCAGCTCCAAGCATCCAAATGTAATCACTGCAATTTCTTGCAGTTCCGACAAGCTGCTCCTTCAGTTCAACCTCTGCCATCTTTTTCCTTTCCTCTGTGTGGAAAATAAGTTAATATGAGGTTGTAAGTTCTTTCCCCAAATCTATTATGATAATTCCTGCTCTGTGCTTTTCTTTTCACAAAAATACAAAATACAAAAATGTAAACAAAACACATTGAAGATCATAGTCCATGTCATACCCTTCTGTCTATGGTCGTAGATAATGTGTCCTGGAGACACATCACGAAGGGCTCCCTGTTCATCACACAGCTCATCACATGCTTCCAGAAATACTCCTGGCGCTATCACCTTGAGGAAATATTTCGGAAGGTAAGCTCCTCTTTCTACTTCTAGTCATTCCCATATTTGTTCAGGAAGAATCTCTCATTATTCAGATTTTAGGTGACATTAATAGACTTTGTCAGACAAGCAAAAGTAGAGTTGGAGCTGATCTATGTCATTTAGGTGTTTAAAATCTGGTTTACAAAAAGATGTTAATACATCCTCACAGAAGACCAAAGTAGAACAAAATGATACAAACTGTTAAATTCTTAAAATTCAAAACACAAAGTATTTTGAATTAGTTTTCATTGCTTAATGTATTAAATAAATATGTATTGTGTTGGTCTGTTATGTAATGGGTGCTGTCCTGGGGACAGAGGGTGCCTGAGACACAGGTGTATCAGCCTACCTGGGACTCATTATTGTCAGAGATGTGGATGCTTAAAAAGTAGACCAAAAAACAAATGTGTGACCACTGTTTGTTATAGGATCTATCAAGATGTGAAAGAGAATAAAAAACGTGACACTTTTTGAATAGAAGAGTAGAGAAAGAAGACTTCATATTCCTTCCCCAACTTGGAACATTCCTTATTCCTTTTCCTCTTTGTATATTTGTATTTGTAGCTCTTACCAGTATCTAGTCAGTATGTATTTTATTTATAAGTCTAATTTTTACCGAATTTACTCACTGAAATGCAACCTTCCTGAAGGCAGGGATTTTCTCAACACCTCAACATGATGGGCACATAGCAGACATTCAATTAATATTCACTTAATAAATAAATACATGAATTAATGGGCATATGCCCCCTTCATTTTTCTATAGAAATAGGAATATAATAAGGATGCTGGAAGGTATAACTGTTGTAAGTCCCAAATTATAGAAACCAGGAACACTATGTTGGGAAAAGAGATGTACCTTTGGTAGATTAGAGAAGATTCCTTGATAACATGAGTCAAGGTTTCTGTGAATAGGGATCTAGATGTTAAGTCCTTTTGGATGGATAGCAAGTAGATTATAGTTTCAAGAAGGTTCCTAGGGAAAGACTATAAATGCTGGATTTCAGGTAAGTTGGATCTCATTGATAAGCTTATTGCAAAAGGTTTCAGAGATCAGTTTGGTGATTGAGATATAATATTTCAGTGTTGAGACCTTAAAGACAAGTTCCTGGGATTTTTAAGTTTTCTTAAATTGAGGAGTCACCTTTGATGGGGTGGAAGATGGGAGGACCTCCTTACAGAATTCTCATGAATAAATCCAAGGAATATTGATTTCTAGATCTATACGTCTGAAATGAAACCAAAAAAAAAAGGCTGGGGGGGGGGAGAATAGAGGTTGAAAGGCTTTGAATTACACATGAAGCTTTTGTTTAGAGGTAAGAAATACAGTCCAGCATAGAGTTTCCATTCCTAAGGCAGGACTCCCTGGCAGGGAGTTGGAGTATCCATGCACATGTCCTGTCATCCCCAGGAGCACCCTCATTTCTGACACTTCTTGCTTCATGGGACAAGATGTTTTTGAAAGATTTCTCAAAAGATTCATATGTCACCTACATACTCTTTTTCTTTTTAGGTACAACAATCATTTGAATCACCAAGTACTCGGGCCCAGATGCCCACTGTTGAACGACTATCCATGACAAGATATTTCTACCTGTTTCCTGGAAATTGAAAATAGTGAGTATGGATAGTTGTACATGGTAAAATAAATGGAAGATTAAATGAATGAAAATAAATTAAATAATTTAATTAAATACATTTAATTAATTTTCATTTAATAAATTAAATGAAATAAATGGAAGATTGGTGGTGAGTTCCAATGACTAATGACAGCTGACTGCTTGGATGTTCAAATTAATGTTCTCATCTCTATTATACAATTAGTCAATTAATCAATCAAGGAGGTAAGGAAATCCAAGGCAGGATGTGATAAACAATGAAAGACCCAGGAGAACAATCAACTAAAATTGAAATGTACTCATGCTTTCATTAATACTTATATGCATTTATCTTTCATACTCTCTCTCCCTTTCTCACCCCCACACACACCCCCACACACACCAAGTTACAGAACATTATACGTGACCCTGAAAAAAAAACAGAGTAAACAGAGGAGCTAAATAGAGAACACACATCCTCTAGTGCAGAGATTACATTATTGACATGGAGCTTCCATTACCTAACGATATAAAATACACCCCGGACTGTAACACTTGTGTTGTGCCGGCTCTGGTTCTTAGACGGTTCTCACAGTGTAGATCACAGATGACCCTAAAGTCTGATTTCAGACTCTCTATTACTTCTGGGAAACTCCTTCAATCTCCTGCGTTAACATATAAACTTCTTTAGTTTTATAATATTTAAAATATTTTGGAATAGGTACATCAATTTTAGACTCAGGGGTTAATTTTTCTGCTAATAACAGCTTTACATCACATTATATTAAAAGCATGTCATTAATCTTCTTCTCAGAAATACACTTAAAATTGTATTTTTTAGTAAAGGTTATCTCGGTGGTTCAAATATTTACCCACGTAACAGTTTACTCTTTGTTTCTGACACTCCAGTTGCAAAATTGCATAGATATTTCACCAAACAGCTTCTGGTGCCTACTTTATCTAATATGACCATATCTAGTCATTGAAGTATTTGTCTGGCTAATATTAACCCACATTTACCATGCTCCAGATTCTGTTCTAGATGCTTAGAATATATAATTGAACAAAATAAAAGGATTCCTTACCCTCAGAAAGCTTGCTTCCAAGTGAGTACAGACTCTGAATGTAATGAGCTAAGAAAAGAAGTGAAGGAGGTTAAGGGGAATACAATGTGATGAGCCAGAGAGCAAATCATGTGTTACTTATGCAGGAAAAGTGTCCCAGCACAGAATAAAACAAGTGCAAGGCCCAGGCGTGGAAACAGGTAAACTTGTTTAAAGAACTGCGGTGAGACAGTGAGACTGACTGAGAACTGCAGTGGGGAAAAGGCACAGACAGATTCAATGCAGTGGTGAGGAAGCTGATTCTATGGGCCTTGGTGATAACATGGTACATCTTTTAAAAATTTAATACTGAGTGAGATAGGAAACTTGAATACTTTTGAACAAAGAAGTAAAAAACTTAACTCTACTTAACTTTTACAAAGAGTATCCTGAGTACTTTTTGGGGAATCCCCTGCATGGGTTACAGATGTCAAAGGAAGAAAGGAGAGCTCATGGACGAGGATAGAAGAATCGTGAGGAATGGGATGAAGGCTGCAGGGGATGACCATATTGACCTGCTTTTTTCTCTCTCCTCAGGAAACCACATGTCACCCAGCCCTCTTTTATCAACTTTAAGAAGCACATGCATTTAACATTTCATATTTCAGTAAATGTGAATACAGAAGAATCTGGGTTATACCTTTAACTCCAGCTATTTGAGAGGGTGACCCAGGAGGGTTTCTTGATCCTTAGGCGTTTGAGATTAGCCTAGGCAATACGGAAGACCACTTCATCTCTTGAAAGAAAAATAAAAATCTACAAAAAATGAACTGTGTCTTTTTAGGTTCTGTAATATAACTTTGATTAACATAGCAGGTAAATAAAAATGAAGTAGAAGCATAAGAAATTTTCTAGCTTTATGGCTAATGTAATATCTGCATTTCACTGACTGAAGAGAACTGGCTGTGACTTACTTTCAACAATATGGTAAAAGTATGTAGTGTCTAAAACTACAGTAAATCTATAGTAGTATAGATACTACCTCACACACACATTATCCTGGCTGCTATAAAAAGCAAAAACAAACAAAGAGAAAAGAACAAGTGTTGGCAAGGATGTGGAATAATTGCAAACTTGTGCACTAGAGGTGGGAATAGAAGAATGATGCACCTCCATAGAAAATAGGGGGGTAGTTCTTCAGAAACAAAGTAGCATTACCAGATGATCCAGAAATTCCACTTCTGAGTATAGACCCTGAATAACTGATAGCAAGTCTAAAAGTATATTTGTCCACACATCATGGCATCATTATTCATGATACATAAAACGTGGAGGCAACCCAAGTATCCACTGACTGAAGAATGGATGAGGCAAATATGGTATACATGAAAATCCACAATACTGTGACTAAGGAAAAGATGTCAATCAAGCGTGGATGTGGAGAAAAGGGAACACTTATACACTGCTAGTGGGAATGCAAATTAATTCGTTCCTTTTGGAAAGACATCTGGAGAACACTGAGAGAACTAAAAATAGACCTGCCATTTGATCCTGCAATTCCTTTATTAGGTATATATCCAGAAGACCAAAAACCAAATTACAACAAAGATATTTGTATCAGAATGTTTATTGCAGCCCGATTCATAATTGCTAGGTCATGGAAGAAGCCCAAATGCCCATCGACTCATGAATGGATCAACAAATTGTGGTACATGTACACTGTGGAATACTAACAGCCCTAAAGAAGGATGGAGACTTTACCTCCTTCATGTTTATATGGATGGAATTGGAAATGTTCTTCTTAGCAAAGTATCTCAAGAATGGAAGAAAAAGTATCCAATATACACAGCCCTACTTTGAAACAAATTCATAGCTTTTATAGGAATGTCATAACCTAATTATAGCCTTAGGAATATGGGAAGGTGGTAGGAGATGGGAGGTGAGGGGGGTGGATGGGGGGAGGGAGGGAGATTTGTGGGGTCACCTCTATGGTTTACCTTGCAAGGGTACAAGTGAATCTTCCTAAAAGCAGAGTATGAACGTTTTAACTGAATAAGAAAATGACATAAAGGTTATGTTGACCAGTTTGATGAGGTATTTTAAAATGTATATGAAAACAGCACACTGTACCCCATGATTGCATTAATGCACACAGTTATGCTGTAAGAAATAATAATAATAAAATGATGTCAATCAAAGTATTAAGTCAAAGTTTGAGGATGTGCTCCAGGAAAAACACAAACCACAGAAGTCTCTGTGCCTGTTTCCTGGTGGTAATTTGGGAACGTCAGCCTTAAAGGGAGATAGGGGATACAGAAAGAAAAAGGAGCAGTGTGCTGGCCAGTGAAGCAAAATGGAACATTCTTGAGAATCCCAGGAAATCTACATTTACAGATGATAAGGTGAATGTTAGAAGAGAAAAAGGAACTAGGAGAAGCATCAATTCTGTAGATGTCCCTGGGTAGGTGGAAGAATTTTGATGTTGTCTTGTCTCTGTTCTGCACCTAGGAAGATAAACTTATAATTATTTATTAGCGTGGTATGGAAAAGACTTTAGTTTTAGGAGCTAGACGTAGCCTGAAGACTAAAGTTGCAATTTCTATGTCCTTGCCTGTGGGGACCCAGAAAGGGATTTTCTCATGGTCTGTGGGACAGCCCTTGCAGTTGCCAGAGGCCTTTCACTTTTTAGCGGGGACCTGGACAATGCATAATGTTAGTAACAACTGTTCATTTAGTTCATTAGTAACAGAACCCCCTTCCAAATGAATAGGCTGTTACAAACTTGGCTTTCAGGCTTTACCTTCCCTTTTGCATAAGAAATAGGGGTTGGCAGTCCTGAGATTTTTATTTTCCTTTACACATGTAAAAGAAAGAAAGGAAATTCTAACATATGCTATAATATGGATGAACTTTGAAAACATTATGCTAAGTGAAATAGGCTAGTCACAAAAATCCTACTGTAGAATTCCACTTACATGCAGTGCCTAGTGAAGTCAAATTCTTATACAGAAAGTGGAATGGTGGTTTTCAGGGGCGTGGGGGAGGAGGCAATGGGAGTTATATATTGACCATAGAGTTTCAGATTCACAAGATGAAAAAAATTCTGGAGCTGGACAGGAATGATAGTCATATTACAGGAAAGTAATTCCCAACATTGGGAGTCACATAAAGTCCAAATAGGTCCTTGGCTTCTCACTCAAGAGAAAGAGTTCAAGGGTGAACTGACAGTATAAAGTGAAGGTAAGTTTATTTAGGAAATCAGAAGATCTCCACAGAAAGAATAGAGGCTAGTTCTCCCCTGCTGAGGAGAA